TTGAGAAGTATTTTAATATTCCACACTGAAAGCTTAATAATCCAAACTTTCCTGAAATGAAACAACAGAGTTCAAAGCAAAGTGCAGAAAATTTATCTATTAAAGAAAATTACAGCAAGGAAAAGAAGCACACAATTAATCCAATTACTTCTACTCTCTGGGGTAAAACCATCATTTGTTAGCTCTTTTACTTTAGTACTTCATCAGAATCTGTTTTGATTGCTTTTATCTTGCTGACTTAAATTAGCATGTGTCAATGTTATCTTAAGGAAAAAATAATATCAGTTTTAGAAATCATAAAGGAATGTACGTTAAGCTGTCCCGAGTTTCTCAAACTTGGTCTTAGAGCTACTGAGAGTGAAGCGCAAATTAAGCCATTTGATCAAACTGAGAAAATAAAACAAGATCACATTTAATCAGTACCCTTGGAGCAGGGGGTGGAGTGGGTTGGGAAGGAGAAAAAAAAAAAAAAAGAGCTTATATGCCTTTACAGAGAGTTACTACCTCAGTCTTGAGTATACCTACACCAAAAACATTACTTTTGCACTCTGCAGCGAGTGAATGCATTAAAGACAGTTTAACTTCATGAGATAGTGAATCCTGAGTGATACTCTGGATATGGTACCCTCAAATGGGAACACAACTCAAGGCACAAGCTTCACCCATTCTTACAGATCACAGGCTGAAAGATCATGAGTTCTAAGAGAGTATATCTGAATAGTACTAAGAAATTAGAGGTCAACAAAGAATTGTCTAAATAAGAGCTACCACTTATCATTTGTAACAGCGTATTAAAAATGTACATATATTTTCTCATTTAACTTAGCAACAATGCCAGACAGCATTGTTGTTATTATTCTCCCACTCCTATTTTAAAGATGAGAAAACTGGGGTGAATTTCCACATAACTATTAAGAATTAGAGTTTGACTTTGAACTCAAAATTTAAGTCTGAAAACGAAAGCATAAACATTTACCTACCCATGGTAAACTAAATTTCCTTTTTTGAAGAAATTGGCTGTTAATGGTTATAGGACTAACAGACCACCCTGAAATATTCCCTTTAAAATTCTGATGCTCAAAAGTGGTCCAAAAGCACCATTAATAAGCAGTTGAGTCTAAAAGTTGACAATTTTTTACTTTGATTTGGCTGTTTTATTCAAGCCTACCTCCTTCAGTTTGGGCTGGCTTCCCAGCTCCTTGGGTACTGACTGACTCTTCCTCTCTTGCCACTTCTTTACAACTGGAGATCCTTTTAGGCATAGGATCATGAGTTTAGCCTGATCATACAATTTCCTGATTTCCCTAGGCTGGCTGCAGAAAAAGGAATTTTCTTTTGAAATTTCTCCATGGGTTTCTCCTCTTTCCACTGCTGCCCTTTCCTCTTCAATATAGTTTTGACTCCCACAAGAACTCCTGCCCTCACTCCTGAGTCCCACACACCTCCCCGCCAACAGCTATTAACTGCAGAGGTAAAGAAGGAAAAATACTGCCTAACCCTCCACGGCTCTCTCTGATCTACGAAGAAAAGAGAAAAGTGGAGAAGATAAACATGAGAAAAGCATGTCACCATGACCTTCCATCCCTGATCGCTGTCTTCCCCCAAGTTCTCCACTCTGGGACTCTCCATATAGTCTGTCTTTCTCCTCTATGCTATCCCCAATGGCAGCCACCGCCTGCCCTGCTCCCCCCAGGAGAATCCCTTTCCTCTCACATCTTCCTACTAGTCATAAACCCACTCCTGATGGTGTGCACTTTCACCTTCACAGGGAGAGTCTCCAATAAAACAGGACCCCCAAGTTTGGATTCATGTCTGTTCTAGTGATGACACTGTGACATAAAACCTGGGGTCACAACAGACACAAGGTTTTGAATCTATAAAATAAATAAGTGCATTAAATGACCTTTCAGCTCAAAATTCAATGTTCTGTGCAACAAGCCCGGCAACCTCTGTTGTATCCCTGCGACCATCAGGAAACACATTCTGACTTTAAATAACTAAATTAGAAATGAGCCTCAGAACACAACGACTTAAATGCTGAACACTGCCAGGGCAGAAAAACGTCTCCTTGATTTGTAAAGGTTGTCTGTCTTTGTCAATTTTTAGTCTTCTAAACATGAATATTCATTTCAATTAAGCAAATCACCTGTCATATTAAGCTGCTTCATAGTATCACTCAACATGAATTTTTGTTCAGTGCCTGGAAAAGGCAGTATTTCTCTCCATTCTGTTCTTTCATGAGAGATTCCATCTCGGCAGTCCCACTGCAAGGATGCCCACCGGCTGCAATCTCAAAGGCACTCAGTCCACACACTGAAGAATAATGCAGCCACATTTGAAATCCCCACGGTCACCTCACAATACATCAAGAGCCCGTGACTCACTCCATCTTTGTTTCCCTGGCTGAAATACAAATGTGCTTCTAACCTTTCTCTCCTCGCTTCTTCTTTGTTCTATCGATATGGTCCTTGAGTTGGATGCGGACCTGCCGTTCATTAGGCTGGTCTCGGATGAATGGGTGTTTCATCAGCTGTTCTGTTGCTGGTCGCTGACTGTGGTTCTTCACCAGGCAGCTCTCAATAAATGACTGGAATTTTTTTGACCTGCCAGAAAAAAGAGAAGGAAGGGCAGGTAAATGGACAATCCAAAGGAAAACAAACTTATATTTTCTGAAATGCCAGAATTTAAAAAATAACACACACACAAGCCTACTCAACCCACCTAAAAACCAACTGATCACCAAGGATGTATAGCCCTTTATTGGGCATATGGGGTTCATCACCATCCACACAAGACTGAAGCAATAATTGCTAGTTTATATAGGAACATATTTTTCCACTCTGTGCATAATATCATACATACAGCCAAGCAGAATCAGAGAAAGGGAAACCTTAATGGAAATCCCATTTGGAAGGTCTATGGGAATGAGGAAACCAATGCTCAGCCTCAGAAGAGAAAAATCACTCTGGGAAAAGGGCAATACACGTGGGTGGGAGACCAGTGAAAAATTAATGGTGAGAATGAGCAGATTCTAAGCCAGGAGGCCATGAGGTGAGTTGCTAACCTCATGGTTAAAATGCTAACTGGGGAAAAGTGAACCCAAGTTGGGTAGGCAGCTGGGAATACATTTTGTAAAAATGAACAAGATTCTTCTATTAGAGAGTGAACTTGATCAGGCACATTTTTTATTTGGTAATTTCAGAAACACTTTTGAACTTTGCTTTCCAATTAAAACAGAATGTATGTGTATATTTGCTGTCAGCAGAAGGACTTGGAGTTAAGGTGTGAGGAACTAAGTTCATACCCAGAAACAAATTTATCTCTTTTGAGAGAGATAATATTTCCTCAAAGAGACACTCTGTACTACAGCTACAGCATGAGGGAGAGAGCTGATGAGATACCATACTAGTGATTAAGGCAGTAAGTCCAAATGTGGTCAGCATTAATGGACTTTAGTCATGAGTTGGGCATGCAGGTGCCTCCTGAAAGTTCCGAGATTGTTCACTATCGTAAAGAAGTTCACGACTCTACTGCATGCCTTCCCCAGGTTCCTCCAAAGCCTTGGAGAAATCCTGATGAAACTTTGCCCCCTCCATTCTACTCAGCAGGGAGGGAACCATTTGTGCTCTCCATTGCCCTCCTGTGGAGAACTGTGGTATTACAGGAACAAGTATTTTCCCCAAGCTTCCCAGGTTATGCAGAGAAACTTCAGCCTGAAAGGCGTCCTCACCATGCTGAATGCTAAAAACACAATATTCAAGATTTTTCAACATTTCACTCCTGGGCATATATCCAAAAATATCAAAATACTAATTTAAAAGGAAACGTGCACTCCCACGATTATTGCAGCACTATGTACTATAGCTAAGCTATCAAAAAAACCTAAATGTTCCAGAACAGATAAGTGGATCAAAACGATGTGGTATATAGACAGTGGAATACTATTCAGTAATCAAAAAAGATAAACTTGTATAATTGGCAGCACCACGGATGAAGCTTGAAAGAATAATGCTAAGAGAAATGTTAGAAGGAGAAAGATAAATACCAGGTGGTGTCTAACTTGTAGAAAATGAAGTACATGAGTTAACAGTAAGATAAAGACAAGCTGACTTGACAGCTGAACTGAGACACCAAGGGGGTAAGAGGTGGGGGCAGGAAAGAACTGGAATGCGGGAGTCATATCGGTCTATGCTGGTGGAGTATAGGCAAGTCAGCAGGGACTGCACTATGGCAGTAATTCCTAATAGTGATACCCCTATGGCCTCAGTTAAAAATGAATTAATTGGGAGAAAATTTTTGCACATAATACTAATGACAAGGGACTGATCACAAATACCTAATGAGGCTCAACAAAAACAAAGTAAACAACCCAGTCAAAAAAATGAGCAGAAGAGCTTAAAAAAAATACTTTTCAATGAAGAAATCCAAATGGCCAACAGACATATAAAAAATGTTCAACATCACTTGTAATCAGGGAAAATGCACATCAAAACCACAATGGGATACCACCTTACAACAATGAGAATGACATATTAAAAAAACTAGGAACAACACATGTTGGAGAGGATATGGAGAAAAAGGAACTGTCCTATACTGGTGGTGAGAATGAAAACTGGTACAACCACGAGGCAAAGATGTGTGGAGTTTCCTCAAACTACTAAAAATGGAGCTTCCATATGATCCAGCAACTGTTCTCCTAGGAATCTACCCAAATGACATTTCTGAATCCTAATTCTAAATTCTAATTCAATTATAAAGGACACTTGCACCCCTATGTTTATTACAGCACAATTTACAATATGTAAGCTATGGAAGCAATCCAAATGCCCAAAAATAGATGACTGAATCAAGAAAACATGGTATATTTACCCAATGAAATATTACTCAGCAATCAAAAAGGATAAACCCATGCCCTTTGCAGCAACATGGATTAAGCTGGAAGGGATTATGCTCAGTGAACTAAGCCAGAAAGAGAAAGAAAGTATTGAATGGCCTCACTTGTAGGAGGTATTTGGTTGTAGAGGAATCAAATAAGGAGATTAGGGGGAAAAAAGTAACTATCATAAAGTAAAATTCAAAATCATCAGGCAGCTATAGGGATGAGGAGAGGGGAGAATCAGGAAGGAATAGGAAGAGCACAAGGGACTATGGTGATGGTGCATGGGTGAATTGATGGTGGGAATTACACCAAGAAATCATACATTATACAAAAATGATGTAATAAATATAGATTTTAAAATGAACTGATTGATTAATTTTGAAGAAAGAACTAGGAAAGGACACTCATGCATGCAGCACTCCCACTTCTGCCCAGGGCAGAGTAATATCTCATGTGATTCTGTTTTTGAAGCAATTGGTTATTGATAGCTTCTCCACCCTAAACTCCTAAGCTATATTCAAAGTTTAACATTACTTTGCAAAGTAGTAAAGGCAACTTGCTATGCTCAAGTTGGAGCTGAGATGAGACAGGACTGGCTACATGGTGGACAAGAAACAGTGACAACAGGATGGCCTCTCCCTGCCAAATCCTGAGTCTGGACCCTTGCTCATTTCTTAGTGGCACCTCTCCAGAGTGGGAAAAGGTGGCCTTTGTTACCTTTGTCTCACAAATGCATTACCAGACTTGTACCACAAGTCTTCAATCGGTACTTTTTGAAGTGAAAATGTGTAATGAAGGAACAGATGCATGGGTGGAATCAGAAGAGCATTGTAGGCAAAACTATATTGGGGCTACCTTCAGGTCTGTGCTATTGAGGAGCACAGGGAGGCTTGGAGAGCAGATAGTATTTAAAAGGATTTCTGTCTCAGGTCAAAGCTGTGGAGGCACACGTGTCTAAGGAGAGACTTGTCCCTGACAAGTAAATAAATAAATAATAATGTACTCTCTTAAGAAATACACTGAAGAGAAAACATAAAGAAATAGTCAAACTCCACATGGTGCTTTTCGAGATAGAAAACCAGTATTATAAAGATGAAAACAAAACACATTAAGACAGAAAGCTATTAAATATTCATGAGAAATGCAAATGACAGTTTTTTCTTTCCTGTTTGCAAGTAGAAGGAAATGCTTGCTTTTTATAAAGTGCACAACTATTAATTAGAGGATGATAAATAAAAGAAATCACACCCAATTTAAAAATGAGATCCAGACTTAATAGACTGTAGAAGCCATTCTTCAAACCTGACGCCTAAAACAAGTCTCAGAAGTCTCCAGAATGAGACAGTGCTGAAGGAGTTTAATGGAACCAGCCATTATGCAGAGTCCTTTTTCCAGTCTCTTTCCTGGTGGGAGGGAGCCTCAGAGATATTCAAGGGATGTCTCAGCCCAGCAGAAGGGCCAAGATGGGCCACAGTCCAAAGCTGGAGGTACACCACAAGTCTTCAATCAGTACTTTTTGAAGTGAAAATAATGCTTTCTTAAAACTACTTTTCAAAGAAAGATTCATTATCTCCTTTTTAAAAGTCACTGTGACCAAAGAATCAATATGATTAATTACACATTTAATTAAAAGTAGAAACACTTCACCTGTGTTGAATACCGGCTGACTATTTGCTGAGCAGTCTAGTGGGCTTAAAGTACATTTATATAACTTTATTGACTGCCAATAATTTAGTTCTGTCTCTTAAAAAAAATGCCTCAGATTAGTAAAACTAATTTCCCAAGGGTTGGCATGGAGAGATAAATGTTTGTAGCTGATGTTTGGAGTCTGAGGCACCAGTTTCACTACCACTGTAAATGGACGCTTTATCTTCCTGTTTATATGTTCAAGGCATTAACATAAAATTTTGTATTAGAGGAATTAAAAATGCCTAAAAAATGTTACATTCATCATTATAACCAGCTGGGCTAAAAGTTATAGTAATTATTCAACTCTCTAACTGCAATTTGACCTGTAAAATTTGCAATTCCCTTGCCCTATTTTCCAGAACTGCCTCTCTACTTCAGGTCCATCACTTACAGCCAAATGACTGAGCAAATTACTTTATTTCTCTGCCTCGGTTTCCCTGGCCACAAGGTGGGGATAGCATTATTACTTATTGTAAAAGACTGTTATGATGATTAAATGAGTCAATAATGTAAAATAATCAGGACAGTGTATGTTACATTATAAATGTCGTGTGTATTTGCTATTATTAGTAATAGCATTTTAGTTTCAACATTGACAATGTTTGTCTTTAGGGCTGGGAGCAGAGACCAAAATTTTATTTTTTCTACTTTTGTTGATCTACAGACTACAACAGATACTGTAATAATGTGCATGTTCAATGCCATCTTGCTATAATACTCATGAGAAGAACATAATCTAGGCTAATGCTGAATGAAAAAAAGATGTTATTTGAAGATCTGCTTTTCTTAGCTATTATTTTTGCTTAAGTTTCAGTTTCCAAGATCCACTCAATGTTAAGTGAGGCCACCTGTGGTATAATATTCTTTAAGAAAGTATATCTCCTATATTAGATAGGTTAGTAGGAAGAAATGAATAGCACTGTTACCTCTAAGGAGAATGTGCAAAAACCAAGAGATTGACATAAAGTTTTGTGTAGCAAGTTTTGCTTTGATCTTCATCAATCCCACAGTCCACATCTGTAGGCACCTTTGTTGAAGTATATTCTAATATTTGCTTCCTATTATCACAGACTTATTTAGAACAGACATACAAAAAGAACATTGCCATTTCTTAAAACAAAAGTGCCTGACAACCCAGCGAGAATCAGAACTAATATTTCATCAAGTCGCATGGGTGGTGAGTAAAAGCTGAGGACAGGCTTCCAGGCTGGTTCTCTGGATGGTGAGCTTGAAACTCTGGAGACAAGTCCCTTCCACAGTCCCAAGGGCTGTGGAATGGCCAGGGCAGCCTGAGCCTCTTTCCAGTGGGATTTTCCTAATGATCTCACGGGGAAGCTGCTTTGCCTCTGTGACAAGTTCACGTTTAAAGGACATGTGAGAAGAACAAGATGCACTATTTTTTATACAAAGGAAGAAACTCTGGGAGAGAAGTGAGATGGTGAGTGTATCATCCCGAGTGTGACAGTGCCGATAATGAGCACGCGGGAAGGAAGGGAAGACAGAGCTTCTAGAGGCTGTGGTTTACCTATGTGGGTCCACTTGAATCAGGCATTGGGCTGGGCCATAAAATGGGAGCCCCACCTGTCCTTCTGCCGGAGGTGACGCAGACAGAGAGTGAGTGCATCCTTCGTCTCCTGTGCTTCCTTCTCTGAGTCCACCAAGATTAATTCCTTCCCATTTTGAAGTGGTTAGGCCCCTGGGCACTGAATGTGTTACAGGGTATCCCAGAGTGGATTGACCGCCTGTCTGTGGGGCTTCACCTGTGCGCTCACAATTCAGCTATACTGCAGGGACACACAAAAGGGCCAATAACGGGTTTATTTACAAAAGGAGAAAGGAATAGGAAATGACCCAGGGAAAGAGAGCGGGATACAAAGTAGCTGGAATACCTTACGGCTAGGCTGACTGAAAACACGGAGTCATGAAGTCCGGAGAGCCGTTTCCAGAGTGCGAGAGTGCGAGATGCAATCGCGCCCTATGAATGTCCCCTGAATGTCCCAGAATTCCTGCTAGCTCCGCCCTTGGGTCCTCGCAGTTCTCTCCCTGGTACTGCTGGGAGTTGTAGTTTCTAATTACTGGAGTAGGGGGTAGGGTCCAGAAAGCTGGAGTAGGGGGTGGAGTCCATTAGACTCTGCAGAGTTCCTTTAGGACATCCTTCCCCTTAACAAATGGAGCCCTGATCTCATATCTTTCACAGCGCTAAAGCCTCTCCTCATCACACTGACAGAAGAGGGAGGGGCCAGGTTCCTGTTTGGGGGGCACGGGGTTGCTTTCCTTTTCTCCCACAGCAAAAGGGTCAGAAGAAGTGCTAATTCCTTTTTCTCTCCCTAATATTAAGGTGCCAGAGAAACTTTTCAGCACAATTTCTCCTCTACCACTTTAATCTGGAACTTAAGAGGCCAAATGGAGTAAGGACCATGGCCTACTCCAGTCTCTGCCTCCCATCTATAAAACAGGCACTCAGCATCAGTCCACCAGGACTGTGGTTATGGTTAAATTAATGTCTATCTAGCATCTGTCTGTATCTATACATCTTAACTTTCTACCCTCACAGTTAAATAGTTGAAAGTGCAACATATCTAGATCTGTGCCTCTTGCATGTTGTAGATTCAGTAATGTTAACTGGAAATGACCTTCCGAGCAAAGCTTGCAGTGAAGAGTTCCTGGCCTGTCTCAGTGTGATGGCACCCCCTTTGGTGATAAGGTAGTATGCACACTGACAGTCCTTCACTTCATGGGATGACATGGAGGTAGAAAACAGATGGATACAAAAAACACATTGAAATTTTGCTTCTTTTTAATGTGAAGCAGGATTCTCTCTTTAAAAATAAAGGGAAGTAAACAAGATGATTCACTTCCTCTCAAGCACTAGAGCATATTAAAACAAACCCTGATTTATTTTGAATCACTTTTGATCTGGTTGTGCAAGACAAAGTACTGTGAAATGCTTAAATGTTTTCACTTAAAAGCTGGAATTGTACTGCTTCTAGAGAAGTGGGAACCACAGCAAGTGACCTGTGGCCTCTGGCCGCACACAAGGGGTTAAGCTTGGAACTATGACACTATCCACAGCCACTGCAGGCCGAGTTTTATCCCTGGCCAAGGAGCTGACCCACATGGCGTAGCAGACCTCTCCTTTCTTGTCCGCTGCTTCCCTCAGCAGTGTATTTTAGTCAACCCACCTGTTCTGCTCCCTGCTCTGTCTCTGGTGAATCCTCTCACCCCATGTACCTCTGGCCTGTACCCCATTTCTTATATGCATAAACAAATAAATCTTTAGAAAAAAAGAGAGTACTTCACTCACTCACAAGGGACACTTTCCTTTGTCCCCATCCCAACCAGGGACAGCCTTGAGCCCCTCACTGGCTTTCTTTCCAATTCAGGCAGGGGTGAGCAAGAGGCAGAGGCAGGTGAGTAGGGCTGCCAGTCTCCTCTCCACACTTTTCCCCGACTGACCTAGCTCCTTTTGGCATTATCAAAATTAGTCCTTATGGTCAAAGTCCAAGCAGAAAGGTTGACCTGTATTTTCCCCAGTATGTTCACTCACGTCTCTGAGAGGTCACTTGAGTCACAGAGACAGCAGCCAAGCAGGGCAGGGCTGGGAAGAAAACAGGACAAGCAAGGGGTCTACACTCTGGCTTCTGGTCTCAGAGAGTGGTGGCCGAGGCAGCAGGACAATCTTGTGGCCCGAGACAGAGCTGAAACCACTCAGTAGCGCAGGACTGCTGCCCTCCTGCATTAGGCCAGAAACCTAAGTGGAACACTCTGTCACCAGATTCCCAAAAGTTGGCAATCAGTGGATGTATTTCTGAAACACGGGATGTGGCCACAGTGGGTTTATCAAACAAAAGACATGAGAGGATGTCCAGTCTCCCTTCTGCAGGAGATCTGGAGACATCTGTCCAGAGAAGAAAGGTGGACAGGCACCAGGAGGAAGCCCACTGGAGATGGCAAGTCCTGCCAGGATGCCTGGCACCAAGGACAAGCAGGAACAGGGTGAGGGTTTGGTTGATGCTCAGGGCACAGAAGCAAGACTCTTAGGGAGTAGCGAGTCTGTCCCAGGGAGAGGGAGGAAACAGCCTTCAGGTGCCCTTCCCCATCACATGCTATGCTGGTGCCCCACAGAAGGTGGTAGTTGGGGCCAGACTGCTTGTCTCACACCACAGTGGCCCTCGAGAGAGGAGGAGCAGCCTGCGGTGTCTAGTGGTTACCAATAGCAACCTTTACTCTCTCCTCCAGCAGCAGAGGCTGTTGTCTCTTTGCTAGCTGCCTCCTCTCCTCTCTGCAGAGTACACCTTTGCCTTTCTCTCATTCCACCTAGGTTCCTTCTTTTTTTCTTTAAGATTTATTTATTTATGCTTACAAAACTAGGATACAGGCCAGAGGTGTGGGGGGTGAGACGATTCACCAGAGACAGAGTGGGGAGCAGAACAGGCAGATTGACTCAAATACACTGCTGAGGGGAGCAACTGGTGAAGTCAGGAGAGGTCTGCCACATCATGTGGGTCAGCTCCCTGGCGGGGGTGGAACTGTTAAGGGGGAGGATGTCCTAAAGGAACTCTGCAGAGTCTTATGGACTCCACCCCCTACTCCAGCCTTCTGGACCCTACACATTACTCCAGTGACTTGAAACTACAACTCCCAGCAGTACCAGGGAGAGAACTGCAGGACCCCAGGGCAGAGCTAGCAGGAATGAATGCTGGGACATTCTGGGGTAAATAGGGTACGACTGCATCTCACGCTCTCTTGCTCTGGCACTCTGTCTGTCTCACTGGCTCGCTTGGAAAGCAGCTCTCCGGACCACGTGACCTGGTGTGTTCACTCAGCCTAGCCTAAGGTATTCCACTTACTTTGTATCCTGCTCTCTTTCCTTGTGTTGTTTCCTTTCCCATTTTGTAAAGAAACCCATTATTGACCCTTTTGTGTGTCCCTGCAGTAAAGCTGAATTGTGAGCGCACGGGTGAGGCCCCACAGACAGACGGCCCAGTCCACTCTGGGCTACCCTGTAACAGAACTCACGCTTCATAGTGCCGTGCTTTTAACCTGTTGTGCCACCAGGAAGAGCACCCCTCTCATTCCACCAGGGTTCTCCAACACAAAAGGCTCATCAAGGGCCTGATCATGAAGCAGTATGAAAAGGAGCAGGAGGAGGGTCTTGCCTCTTCATGTGAAAATGGCCCAGAACATATGTCTAGAAAAGGGAAGATCACAGATGATGCAGAGAGTGGCCCCTCTGACAGGGGAATCAGAATTCAAGAAGATACCAGAGAGGATACACCATATCCAGGGGGAAAGAAGAGAGCAAGAGATTTATGTTGCAGAATGATAAGATATAAAGACCTTGGGAGATGTACCCAAACAGTCAGAAGTCCAGCATGTGGTCTAACCTGTAGTCATCTGTTTTCCAAACTTCAGTCCCTCACACACAATCACCAGCTTTTTGTTATTTATTTATTTATTTATTTTTACTATGCCTATACCACCCATACGAGCATTCACTAGTTAAAATTAAGTTACTTTTATACGTGAATAAGTTTCTTAAATGAAAAGATTGTATCACTACCTGAAACATGACACTGGTATCATCTGCAGTAAAGAAAAAGCAACGGTACAGACAAAAATTACAAAACTTCACACACAGAGCAGTGAGGCCATCTCACCAGTGTGTGTATGCATGACAGAAAGTGGAGACTTAAGTCACAGAAGAAAGGTCAGTAATCTCACAGGGTGACTCACAGACCTATGTTCTGTGTTGCTGCCTGAGGTGCTAAGTTAAAGCGCATCCTTTCTATTATTTGGGTTCTACAACTGAGTTTAGCCAGTAGCTGCTTACCTTAAAGGGGTGGGGGGAAAGGGCAAGCTGCGTTAACAGGCACTCACTGGGTACATAGGGTGGCAGCTGGAAAATCACTTGTTAAGTCTGGTCTATACTAGTTTAATACTGCCAGCAAGTCCTAAGGATGTGAGTGCATCCAAAAGAATTTGCAAAAAATTCTGCCCTTATATCTGCAAAATGTGGAAGTTCAAACTCACCACTTCTTAGACTTCAGCCGAGGTGCTGGGTTCCGGGGAATGAGGAAGAGGGCTCTCATGGGATGCATGTCACAGAGAGCTGTAAGAGAGCAAAATAAGGGAAGGTCCACTTAAGATAGCCACACATGACCATCCTGTGAGATGCAGCAATATTACTTTATGGTCAAGTCCATCCTCGCCATGCAGCTAACACCGCTGTCGTCCACACAACCCTGGAGCAATCAGAGCTTCACAAGCTGCCATTTAGTAAGCACTTAAATGAACTGATATTTAATTTCAGGTATCTTATCAAATAAGACATATTTCAAGTAGATATTATTAACGTTTCTACTTTATCTTTAAGGAAATTTAAAGAATCAACAACCTTGGCTTTACTGTAACTAACCGTATTAGTACAGAGCTAACAACTATCAGGGAGATGGCAAGTTATTTTTAACAACTATCAGGGAGATGGCAAGTTATTTTTAATTAATAAAAACCGAGTCTTAAAACAAAATATATTCATAATCCAAAGTCTAGTTCTTATTTAATGCACGTTCATCCAAATGCAGTATTATTTAGGTAGATATTGTACAAACACCATTCTCTGTTCCCAAGTACTGTGAAAATGGCTTTTCAGGCTTCAGGTTGGATCTTATTGCTTTCATATCTGTTGTTTTATTTTGGTTTTTCGTTTAGCTTGGTTTGATTTGGTTTTATTCACTGACCTCCGAATGATGGAAGGAATAAGACAGAAAGTCTGGCTAAAAAGTTATGAAAATTATCTCATTTTAAAAACACAATGTGATAATTTACAGTAAAAATACTCAGACATTCTGAGTTTAATCAAAATATCTCATTAGTTTACTTTCAAACATCTGGGAATATCTTTTACTTTGTGCCCGAATAAGAATATATTATTCCTAAGAGCTAAAGCTTTCTGTGCACGGAAGGTAATTTTTTATCCAGTCTATTACTTACTGAGTAGTCTGATTTGAACACTGCAATCTATTATTTTTTTTTATGATTCATAATACCTACTAATATATAGATAAGGGCTGTTTTACTCACAAAGTACAATCCACAGATGCATTCAATTGATCTGTAGAATTAAATCAATGCTAAAGATGAATTCTACCAAATCTAGAGTAAGAAATCAAAAGATGATAACTAGAAGCTAAAAAGTCATAAGAAAAATAATCTGTCCTGCAAATAGGGACTTGTTTTGGCCTGGGCCATCTGAAAAACAGACAATAGGGTGGTATGAACCATGAGAAGATATCACCAGGGAAAATTCTTGCATGGAAGAAATAGAAAGGGAGTCAGTGAAGGCTAAGAGAATTCTTGAATTTCCAGGTGAGCAAGCCTGACCCTTGGCAAGTAAGGAGGAGGAACAGTCGGTACAGAAGTGCTAGAAGGTACAGCCTATAAGGAGGGCTGGCAATGTCACAGAGGGCACTTGAATAAAAGCTGTCTCCAAAGAGGTCTGTGCCTTTCAGGTAAGGGTGGGTGTTGGGCCCCCGCTGTGAGTGGGTGTCAGGGGTACAGCTTCTGGTAGGGCTCAGCTCATGGTCACTTGTGCTTTCTTGGGGAGGTCTGCAAAATGCTCTCGTAGGTGATGCACCCTCATGGCTGCCACACTGCTGGCAGAAGCAACTTCAGCTCCAACACACCAGACCGCAAGGGGAATGAAAGGCTCTCCAGATGGCCAGCGCCTGCCTCTCTGCCTCACATAACAGCAGGGAAATCAAAAAATCGAAATAGCAGGATTTTAGAGGAGTGAAAGTGACCAAGTTCATGTGTTTGCATTGAAATCTGGCTTTGAATCTTTAAATGGAGTAGATGGTCTTTGTGGCTGGTCTCAGTTTTATGTCAGGTAAAGAGCTCAAGATAAATGCTGTGAACCAAACAGGGCTCCCCAATGTTCGCTTCCTTTTTTTCCTCCTAAACACATGATCTTCACTACTCTGAAATGAATGAATTCCTCGTTGATTTAAGATGCTTCTGCTTTCTAAATATGCCAGCTGGGATCCATGCAGGGCTCGGTGTAGCAGAAGTAAAGCAACTGCAGCTCCTGGCACGGAGCCTTCAGCACCCACAGAGCAGACCAGCCCCAGAGGAAGGTACTTACGGGGAGCACCTTCTGCCATCTCAATGGCGGTGATTCCCAAAGACCACAAGTCACTCTGGAAAAGAAGGGAGGCAGAACACATGCATAAATTCAGTCTACAAAGGATAACTCAGTTAAAGCCAGTAATTGCTGCAATATTGCCTGTGGGGAAGTGATTCAGTTGTCTCATCTCAAACTTATTTCAGTCACAACATTTAAACCATGAACAACTTTATTCACTTTTCAAGACAATACCTTTTATGATGCCTGACACATAATGTGTTTTCAATAAATATATGAGGAATGCCTAAAAGATGTATAAAAATGAGCTCATCTCTAAAGTGTATTTATTGATTAAATTATACAGAATTTGACTAGTTTCACCATAACACTTTTATTGAGATAAAAGATCAGCTAACACATTGTGCACATTTAACACTTATTAAGGGTGATATATACATATACACCCGTGAAACCACCGTCACCTCAAAAGGACCCACTTGTTCCATTGTAGTGTCACTCTCCTGCCTTTCTGTCCCCAAACCCACTTCTTGTTCTAAGGCAACACTGGTCTGCTTTTTGTCACTCTGGTAAGTGTGCATCTTCTGAAGTTTTATATAAATGAAATCATCCAGTTTCTTTTGCTTAGTATAATGTACTTAAGGTCCATCTAAGTTGTAGTGTGTATATCAATAATTCATTCCTTTTTATTGCTAAAAGTGTTCCATTGAATAGATCTACCACAGTTTGTTTATCCATTTACTTGTGGATAGGTACTTGAATTGTTCCCAGCTCCATCTATGACAAATAAAACTGCTACAAACATTCCCATAACAAATCTTTGTGTGCATGCATCCTTTATTTCTTTTAAGTACATACTTAGAAGTGGCATGGCTAGATCATATAATAGATTTGTATGCATATGCAATTATTTTTAACATTTTATGCATACAGAACTGAGGTACAGGCCAGAGGTGCAGGGGCAGAAAGAGGCTTCACCAGAGACAGAGTGGGGAGCAGAACAGGCTGACTGACGAAGTACACTGCTGAGGGGAGCAGCGGGCGGGTCAGAAGAGGTCTGCCAGCCATGTGGGGCACCTCCCGGGCAGGGATCAAACTCATGCTGAAGTGGCTTTGACTTCTCAGTGCTGTGCTTTAACCTGCTGTGCCACCAGGGAGGGCCATTTTTTAACTTTTAAGACAATTTTATATATGCTTTAACTTAACGAGACCAGGAAACTTTCTGATGGTGGCATGACTGATGTATTTCCAGCACTTACAGCTGAGCTCAGTAGCAGGTGATCAATATAGTTGTTGAATGAGTGAGCAGTACCTTTCATCTTGTAAGATGATACACAAAATATGTCCTTATATTGTTTGTTATGCCCAGACTGACTTTTACACTCTTATCAGAATTTTCTAGGCTAACATCACGTCTGCTTGTATAATATCCATCTGTAACAACATGTTTCACCCCCCCCTTCTGTGTCTACAGTGTAATAGTATGTAAATATTCACAGAAGAGGGCAAATCAAGAGGTTGGGAAAACCAGGTTAGAAAACCATAAAAAGATGCCTGTTGTTTCAGCCTCCCAGGATATTGGCAAGGAAACAAAATGTCAAATTTGACTCACTCGGGCAAATTCTGACACAAACTCACTCTACTTTCATCTTAAATGTACCCTCCATGGTAAACATCATTCTGAATTTATACCTATAGCCTCACTTAAGGCTCATTTTCCCCCACAATTGCCATAAAACAAACCCCAAGGCCATATGAGAAGGAGAACTAACTGGAAGAGAATTGCGAAAGCTGTGCTGTGCCACCCCCGAGCACTAAACTGTTCAACATCCTTGCATCCTTGCATAGCAGTCAGGCCACTGCAAAATTGACATAAGAAATCACGGGGATTGTCTTGCCCAAAATACATTCTACCTTAGCCCAGGTCATTGGAGCATGGGCCAACACCAATTAAACCTTAGGGTGGGTCTTTAATTCAAGAACCTGTCGCCCTGTTCCCTAAATGTGTCAAGTTCTGAGATCCACTGGGGATAACAGCACAACTGGCTTGAAACTTAGTCCTCCAATTCTAAGTAATTTCTATGAATGGAACAAAACTCAAGAAGGAAAATCTTGTCCTTGTTACACTGGAAGATGTATTCAAATGTACACACACTGTTAGCACAGACCAAAAAGTGACTGAGTTTTTCCTGCAGGCTCCTCGGCCTCCTTAGTGAGGTTGCTGTTCGACCTGAGGCAGGAGGTCAGTCCTATTACAGGCTGGTTCAGGGGACGTAACTGGCAAAAAGGGAAATTTAGCTTCTTGTACCTGGGGTTTTATGGTTAATTTGCACAGACAATCATTTGGGAGTGAAATGAATGAGTGACGAAAATACTGAGTCACTCACTGTTCAGGAGACATTACACAGGAAATATAGCAAGAATAGTCCGGAAATGGTGGGTTGTGCTATTTTGATAAAACTCCAATATCTCTGATCCTTGCTAGTTCTGTGACCATTTCTCTAACATCTCCAGAGATGAAGTGTTTCTATGGCATGACATGAGGTGTGAATATAAAGGTGCTGGCCAAGTTTTATGCAGCTAGATGCCACAAAAGGTCACAGTTAAGTAGCTCTTGAGACTAGGGAGTTTGAGTTGATTTAAAAGCCAAAACTGATGGTGCTGGGGTAAGAAGGCTCTAGACCAGTCCTCAGATAAAGGAAGAAAATACTCAGAGGACCCAGGGAAACATCCACCTTTGGAGGCTTTGTTCTTGTGTCTCCTTCTGCCCATGGCACCTGCCCCACTCTGCGCTAGCTGATACCTCCCTACCCTGCCTGTGTTTGCTCAAATGTCATGTTCTCATGGAGGACCATGGAATTGCCAGACCCTTTTTCCCTTCCCATTTTTGTCCCCCAGAGAACTGATCATACTCTAACATGCCACATGATTTACTCATCACTAACTTATTGTTTTGCTATTTTGTCTGCCTACCTTACCCCCAACCCACACTCTCTCTCTCTCTCACACACACATGCACACACATGAACATGAGATGCACAAAGACAGAGCTTTTTGCTTTGCTGACTAGTTTATTTTAAGTCCTTAATACAGTTCTTAGTCTTCTGCAGATACTTAATAAATGTCTTTTTGAATGAATAAACCAATAAAAGATTCATGAGAGAAAAAAGCAAAACCTAAGAGGAACCTAGGGTCCTTAGAGCTCAGCCAACCCCTCCTTTCACTTCACAGATGGGGTAAAATGACTTACCCCAAATCAAAGAGTAATTCAGAAGCTGATTTGAACAGAGCTTGCTTTCCTACCTCCTAAGCCAGTTCTCTCTGACATCACAATGTCACAATGAAAGGACCCAAATAGTCACCAATTTTTCTTTTCATCTTGGTAATTTACAAGGCCAATAAATTACAGGTAACCAAAATTGTTGGTGTTCCAATGAAGATGGTGAAATTTAGTGAGGCACCTCAAAAACCTGCACTAGGAAACTGGTGCAGCAAAGACTGGATGAAGAGATTAGTAAAGAGAGCAATTGTTTAAGTCAGACAGATAGACCTGGATTCAAATATAGGGTTCATATTTAACTACATATAGAGCACCACTCAGTTCAGCTTTCTCACCTGAACAGTGGAGCTAACGGGAATGTGTAGCTATGTTGGCTAGCACAAAATCTGGCAGCAATGGATTTGATAACATTGATTTCTTTTCCCTGTACTGTCCTATGAGACTTCCTTTGCCTTCTCCATTTAGTTTTCTATGTTTCTCTCCAGTTGTGGTACATACTATTTGGTGGCTGCAGCAGCAGGGACTTTTCGATTCTGACTGCAGAGTATAGAAAAGCTAAGCTTGTCTTGCAGCTAAAGATGTGATATAGTTCTGGCTAACTAGACATAGACAAACATCTTCTAGGAGCATCTAGAAAAGACTTTGTTTTTCTGAAATAAGTAGCAATTGCTTCTGATATCTCAATCAGTCTTCCACACTTCTTTGTGCCCAGATAAAATGTATCTGGCACTACAGCATCCATTTTGCAATCATAAGGTGATAGTTCAACAAATAAATGATGTGAATACTGAAAGGTAAGAGTTTGGGTTTTGAAGCCATTGTGAGTTATCACTCCAACTCTAGACTTCCTACCTCCATTTTCCTGGGTAACTTAAAGGTACTCAAAGCCATTTCTTACTAACAATATGTATTCAGCACTAATTTGAAGAAGCATATTTTGACGGTAAGAAATAGGGAGGTTCTAGTTGTTAGGCGAGGCTGGACTTCACAGGAAACAGGAAGTGTCAGTGAAGAGAGATGTTTCCTTTACTCAGTATATAATGCTAAGACTCTTTCTTGGGTAGCCTTCCTCCAAATTTCAAGAACAATCCTCTAAACCACTCTTATGTGTCCTTTGTCACCTGACCAGGACAGCAATTTCTTTTTCAGACATCCATTTGATATCAATATTAGGATAATTTCTGCTGGGGTCCTCTTGTGTTCAAAAAGGAACATTTATATTCCTGGCCATACACCCCAGAGCTTCTGGTAAGCTATGTTTAACTGCCCATGCTAGAAAGCAATAAATGTCCTTGAAGGGCTTTGTTTAAACCCTTGGATACAATAGTGAGTCCCAAAGATACTTCAGAACTTAAATACAGGAGAAAATGTTCCAATTACAACCAGCAAGACAGATCACAGGAGACAAAAAGGGAAGAGAGAGGAACAAGATGAGGAGAGAGTCAGGGAGAGATAAGTTTCCTTCGTGGCCATGGTGTGACTCATTTTGGCAGGAGCTGGGTAATTCATTATTCCAGAGGTGTTATGCAGGCTGGCCTGTGGCATGATTAATAGTCCAGGCCTTTGTGCATTAAAAACAGAACAGAGACAAATTCTAGTGCCTCTGAAAAGGCAGAGGCAAGCACACTCCTGGCTGGTGGCGATGGGGGAGGGAGGCAGCTGGCAACAGGCAACTTGAACAGAACAAAAGAGCATTCCTTCTAGGGCTGGGTTGCCCAACCCCGTGAAGAAAAATACACTTTCAAAGCACCAGACCAATCACAAGAGGAAAAAAG